ACTTGCAATCCTTACGCCTCAGCCTTCCAAGCTGGGACTACAGGAACCCCGCTTGAACTACAGCAGGGGCTGTTTTTACTTCTGATATATTCCTGTGTAGGAACTTGAGACAAAATGACTGATGTGGGAAGGTGTGATTCTTCCTTCTTGTGTGGTAAAATAATGACCCATTATTTGCTGATATCTAATGTCTTGGGGGGCACAGGACACCCCCCTCCCCTCCTTTTGCTTGTGGGCATGAAAAAAGGCAGCATGTTTCCATTATTCACTGAGCACTGGAGTCACATTTGGGAGTCTGATAAATGGTAATATCCACTTCAACACTTGAGTAGTGTCTCAATGGTATCAAAATCTGTTCCTTGCCAAGGCCCAAGGGGGCTTTTGGTAGTAAGGCTTGTGTCAGATTGATTGGCTTGGGAGTTACTTGGGGGGATTAGTAAGGTGCACATCTGGGTGGGTCATGGAGGATGATCTTGGGTACCATATCTGTTCCCTCTCCTTCCTGACATGTCCCTTTTCTTCTCAGCTGCCATGATCTAAACATCTGCTCTGCTACACCCTTCCACCATGATGTTTCTGCCTTGGAATCAACCAAGCATGGACTGAAGCTGAGAGCTAAATCAAACCTTTCCTGTTTTAGGTTATGGGTAACAGATATTGTGTCCTAGCCACAGGAAAGCTAATACAGAAAATGGGTACCTGGAATGGGGTTGTTGCTACGACTTCCTGATCATGTGTTTCAGACACCTTTGGAACTGATTTATGGGAAGTCAGGTGATGTGGGCTGGACAAGCCTTAGAATACTATAAGCAGAGCCTGATGGGTGATTCTGGTTGGAACTCATAAGAGCAAAATTCAAACAAATGCAGACAGTAAATGCCAGGGTCAGAAGATTTCAGTTGGGAACAAGGCCTCCACTGGCTGCTGGACTAAAGGTCATGCGTTACACTCTGGGAAAAAAGAATTGTGTACACTTTCCCCATGTTCTGAGACTTTGTGGGAGACTCAGTGGCATGGGCACTGCTTTCCCCAGGTTTACAGTACTGCTTGCACTGGCAGAAAAACCTGGCACCATCCTCATGATGCCCGGGGCTTGCTTTACCAGACTGCAACACACAAGAGTTGTGGGGTCAGGGAGGTTTCCACTCAGATTTCAAAGGCCTGGAAAGCCAGACAAGGAGCACTCAACAGGGCAGTGTGTGAAGTTGTGGGAATGAAGCCAAACATACAGTGGAGTCCCTAGGAAGTTGGAGATGCCACGCAGACTGCAACCAGCAAGATAATAGGTGCAGGACTGCCCAATACCCGTGGAACACACGTCTTAACCACCACTTACCCTGGATATGGAACATGGAGCTACAAGAGTTAATATTTGCCCTGCTGGGTTTTAGTCTGCCTTCGGTTGGATTTTCAATCCCCTTACTCCTTCCTTTTGGAATTGAAATGAAGCATTTGCCTTGAGTCTTAGAAGAGATCTGACCTGAATTTTTTTTAATCTTTTTTATGCTGGACCTTTTGAGACTATGAGAAGCAATTATTGCATTCTTGTTCTTGACTGTACCCACGACGGCTGTCACCATGTTCAGCAAAATCATTCACTTTTTTGCTTTTTTATTTGGAAACTGTGGTTTAAGGAGATGTGTTTGGGTGTCAAGTTGACAAAGGATGGCATTTAATAGCTAAAGCTTTATTGTGTCAACTCAATTGGCTTGGGGAGTTGCAGAGGGGATTAGTAAAGCACAATTCTGGGTGTACCAGGGTGGGTCATGGAGTCACGGCTAGGAGCAGTTTCTCTGGTGCCTTTCCCCTTCCTCTCTGATGCTGTTACCCTGCTTTGCTTTGTAGCCACCATGAACTAAGCATCTTTGCTCTGCCACACTCTTCCTCCATGATGTTTCTGCTATGGAAACAGCTGGTCACGAACTGAATTCCCTGAAACCATGAGCCACACTAAACCTCTTTCCTTTTAAGTTGTGCCTCAGTGATTGGGAAGCTAATACATGGCTCTTCCCAACACCACCCTCAACCATCTTTCTTTTTCCTTTCAGCATTTCTACTTGAGATTTCTACTCAACAGGATAATTCTAACAAGTTGTCCTTCTATGCTACCACACTACCCCATTTCGTCCATAACATTTAACCAAAATCTGAAGTCTGCTACTATTATGCTTACTTCCTCACTGACCGCCTCACTAGAATGTTCACTAAGAAAACAAAAACCTTGCCTATTTCTGTTCTATCAATCCCCAACACTAATCAGATAATGTGCAGCACAGGACATGTCAATAATTTGTTGAAGAGACAATTATTTCTGCTAAAGCCATCACTAAAATTTACTCATTATGAAACAAATACATGGATTCTTGGTAGTATTCTAGAAACAGAAATTTTGTTTCTGCTTTAGTTTTACACTTTTGAGGCTACCACTTAGTACTGGATGTTGCAGAGGATAGCTGAAGGGAACTAATAAGCATTTGAGATGCTAGATGCTTTGATACCTTTTTCCCCCCTAAATTCTGTATTTGTTTTTCTTGATTGCAGGGGTGAATAAAATTGTTATCAGTTTCAAGACTGCTTGTGGGAAACCCAGAATAACTAAGTAAATCATAGAATAATTGAGTATTCACAGTTGGAAGGATCTTAGGATAGAGTGTGACCGATTTCTTTGTTTTAAAGATGAAGTAACTCTGAGTCCAGCAGAGCTTTGAGACTTGCCAGACCATATGTTCTCTAAGTCTTGCTAAAGCCTCCCACTTCGGTGTGTGAACCTGCTCAATCATCTTTTTACCACTTGTCCCCCAAATGTTATTCTTTTCCTCGGAGTGGACACCAACTCTTTGGAGGGAAAGAATTAGGAATCCTGGAAGTAGCTGCTTCCCATCCTCCTTCTCTTTGAAGGCTGGGCTGAGTGCTGGTATGCTGGAACGAGTGGAACAAGCATTAACTGGAGGTGAAAAGCAAAGACGCATTACTCTTTACAGGACAGCCTCACTCTGGGGTGGATAAACATATCCAATTTTACAGTTCTGAGATTTTTGTACCTGCTAAAGTGGATAAAAACTCACAAGTTAGAGCCAGTAAAGCCCAATTGGAGGACAAGTTGAACATTTAGCTGCATCAGGAGACCCAGGTGAAAGATAACATCAATAGCTACCAATGGCACCCTTCTCTGGGGGGACCCTAAAGAGGACAACTTATCTTCTCCAGGGAAACTCAGGTTTGTACTTGTCTTTTACTAGGTCCCACCTTCCAAATGTCTGCAGAGTCTCCAACAGTCACGATGCAAGAATGAGCAAGCAGGGTCTGCTCAGATGGCACAGCAGCTAGAAGACAATGAACTAGAGTATCTCTGACAGACAGGTTGGCTGAGAGGCCCAAGTGGGTCAACCTGTCCAAAGTTACATAGTAAGTTAATTTTAGACTGAGACTGGAACCCAAGTTTCCATTATAACTCAGATCAAAACCAACATTAACAAATTATTACACATAAGGTTCATTACATTTAATATTTTTGTCCAAATGTATTTATTTTGGAATAACATACTTTTATCCCACATTTGAAATAATTTATTTATATAAACAAAAGTTCTTAAAAGAAATAAAGTCCCCTACCCCAAACCAAATCACTAAGGATACAAGAAGGTCTTGAGACCTGTAAAATACGAACGCCTTTTGATCAGACACCATGTTTGAGTCCATTTCTGTAACAGGTTCATTCTATAAAGCTCTATAAATTACACACAGCAGTCAGGACGAGATCCTCACCTGGACACTTGCAGCCAACACACAGACTTGTAGCGACGTAGAGTCAGCAGCCTCTAACGATTCTTTCACTCAACAATGAAAGCAGATGATTTTGGCATTGATCACTGAACTCCTGAAGGGAGTTTCTAATGGAAAGCAGCACAAAGAAACCTTTCCACCACAGAAACTTAGTAAGAAAACCTTATAGGAAAAACCGGGAGGACGTCAGGATGAAGTGCAGATCACCAGCTTTGCCAATGCAAGTGCACTCAGGTGCCTGCTCGTCTCCATTGGGCCTGCTGGGCACCTGTGGGAGCAATCTGATTTTGGGTACAAGTTTTCTAGTAAGGCCCTGCACTCAGTAACAGCAAATCATTACCTTAGTGAAGTTGTCTGTGGGACATGGCCTGAAGACCACATAGCTTAAAATAAGGAGCACAAGTGAACTATACTTTTCTACCTCAGAGTATGGGCATGTTTCTTACTTCCTTCTTGTTTTCAACCAGGAGCTCCCTATGGTTGGTTGGCTTTTCAGAAAATAGTCCATGTTTATAATTATAAGATCCATCCGAAGTCTTGAAATGCTGGCTCAAGTACTTCAGGGCAAGAGTGATTTAGGGTAAAATAGAGCATCCCATAAAGGTGATGTGCTCTATTAGGTTTCTACTGCACAACCACCTGGACTGAGCAAAGTTTCTAAGTAGGTCTCATACTGTTCCAATCACTCAGGACTCACGTGGCTAATGCATTTTTCTTACTGCTCTTACAAAGAATTAGTTCACTTGGCACTCATAAAACTTGTTTTATCTTAACATGACAACCCAAAACTGCGGCAGGAAGGCAAGCACTGTCTGTTCTATGTATTTATTTAACACTTACTAAATACCTATAATGAACCAAGAATATTTCTAAAAAATTCAAGGTCGTAAAATATGGCCCCAGGTGAGAAGTTACCAAAAACAGCAGGAAAAGTCAAAACAGCTCTCTCCCAAACTTCTGCTTTGCAGCAAAGCAGTGAGATCCCCAGAACCAGAGAAACCGTAAGGTGGAGATGGCCCCACCAAAGACCAAGAGAAAGAGAAAGAAGGCCGGAAAGCCAGTCTGGAGGGACAGACAGTTCCAGGCAAGGCTGAGCCCCAGGGTCCTCTCATGCACTTCCAAGCTTCACAGACTCTCCCCTTCACTCCCCAGTCTGCTTTTAACCTTCTGACTTCCTTCCCTCTCCCAGTTAAAAAAGCAAACAAAATTCTTCAGGATGTCTATTATTGTCCCAATGACTTTATTTGTTGTTTAAGTCAAATCTAAAAAGTCAACAAATTGTGAAGTTTTCTTCATTGAAATTAATGACGGAAAACTCTGCATTCAAAAACTACACTAAGACAATGTGTTCCTAAGTAGCCATCCAGTTTTAATTGTAGGGCATTTAATCACTTTGCAAACAAATTATAGTCACTAAGATTTATCACTAAGTACTGTACTGGTTTTGTATTTTTGTTTGTTTTTTCTTTTGGCAAACAGAACAAAGCAGAGAACAAAAAATGTTGCCTTCATCATCATGTAGAAAAATAAAATGAACCTAAGATCTATCTATAAGTCAAGTGATTCATCTGCAAAGGTAAAACTAAAACCTACACTTACAGTAGTTTTAAAAATCCTTAGTGCAAGAAACATAACCAATTAATACAGATCAATAGTAATTAATGAATAAGGAAAATTTTCCTATACAGAGGTAGAGTCCAGTGCACAAGGCTAAAACAATGTTCAATAGTCTAAACAAGACTGAACCAGGTTATACGGAATCCACTTTAAATTTCATGTATTAGACTGTATGTACATACATACAATAAATAGACTATACAATTTTTAAAAGTAGTTTAATAAACTCCACAAAATAATAGCAGATGCATTGAAATATTTACATATTCAATTTTCAAATCTCTCAAATAAAAGGGATAAAAATAAGATTTCTGCTCTAAAGTCAGCAGAACCTTTTTCATGAAATGGATCAATAAAATAAGATATTTTACATGAGAGGAATGAATTTATGTCTAGGAGGTATTCATATTTGGCTAAGAAAATATGTCCCTTTTTAAGTTATGTAGATTAGGGAATATAAAATGATATTTTCTACATTTTTAGATCTCTATTTAAAGTTCTAAATTCAGCTCTTACTTGAAGAGAGAAGCTGATTTGGTTCCCATTCAAAGTAAATCACAATTACAATGGGAAGGTAATTAAGTTTTCATTTTCTGCTGTCTGCATTTGAAAGTGTAGTCCAGAAGGAATTTGGCCATATTTCTGGCCCCAATAATTATTTACACACATTCCATTTAAACTGACTTTTGGCTCGGTGCTCTTGGGATTTTGACTTTCTGAGTCCCTTCCATTTCCAAAGCATAGTTCACTTTGAGGAAGTAAGATGGGGGTCAGGTGTATGCCTTTGGGGTACTCGAGACTAATTAACAGAATTCTAAAGTTTTCCAAGCTCACAAGACAGACAGTGAAACACAGACCGTCTGCTGTTATTTGCCTCAGACTGGAAAAGGGAAAATACTCAGAAACCTCAGTCACTGTGGCCTAGGAAAATAAGCAAAAGCCGAAAGCCTTATCTGTGTAAATGACTCAGATTCTTAGATTTCATACCAAATTTGCTATTTTATCTTTAATTTTTTTATTTTACCTGATATAAAATATTCTTATATCTAGCTCATAAGAAAATCAGGGATAGTCAGAAAATGAAAAAGCATGGTCATAATTAATGAAGCATAAACCTTCACAGTTTGGATTTTGTATCTCCTCTAAGCACCCACAATGAAATTGCAAGTTGAGTTTTTATTCAATCATTCTGTGAAAAATACCTCAGTAAATAGTAACATTTCCCTGTTAGTGATCTTCCTACTGGAATACCCACCACCCCCCTTTTTTTTAGTTTTAAATTTTTAAAAAAATTTTATACAAATAGGCTAACTTTGATTTAGAGTAAACATATAAAAATTGAGAAGAATATTGCTTGCAACAATGGACATGGTAGTAGAAGGAGGAACTAGACAGGAGAACAGAGAAATGCTTCCACATAGAGACTGGCACATGGAGCTCCCTGGCTCAGTCTCGGCCAGGAAAGCCCTTTCCTACACACTGTTTTCTTCAGCCCACAAAGCCGGACTGATTTGTAACTACAACTGGGGAGATGGGGTGGGGTGGTGTACAAATGAAAAGAACAAAAACAGCAAAGATAAGAAAACTGGAAGGCACAAGCACCCATATGAACTAGAATTTTCTTGGAGTGAGGAGTAAGAAGAGAAAGGGATACTTTTGGTTCAACACTATAGTCAAGTTAATTTTGCCACTGTTGAAGAAAAACCATATACAGTACAATAAAGATGTACAGAAATGTTAAGAAGCACATCCCACTTGCGAAGAAGAAAGCTCAGAAGACAGCTCACAAAAATAGTGCAGAGAGAAAACCAGTATTATTTATTTGGATGTCTGTGCCATAACGGGTACAAACTATATTCTCTGCTCTGTGGGACCAAAACAGAATAAAAATAAAATCCCTCAAATCCCCCCAAAAAAGCAGCAAGAAGGAATGCAATAAGTCTTACAGAACACACTGATCCAAATGGGTGGTAAGCATGGCACTCCTGTCTTTAATGCACATCCAACGTGGCTACCTACTGTGCGCTTCTAACGCATTCACCTCCTGATCAGATGGGGCATTTAAGAAATGGCCAAGCCACTCAACCATTTTCCCTCCTCCACACAACTTCCTTTCCCTTTGTTTCCTCCTCCAGGATGAGAGTCTGTTTCCTCCATGAAGGAAGTGCTGTTAATGGAGATGGGGAAAGGCGGGAACAGGTTTCCAAATACCGACTCTGCTTCCCTCGAAGCCTTGTTGTGTGGGGCCAACAGCGCCAGGCGGTGTGAAGGCTTCCTGACGGGGCTGAGTTAGAAAAAGGAAGGAAGAACAGAAATAAAACCACCCCAGCTGTCTTTTCTCACGCCACAGGAGAAACGGAGGGGTGGTGCGGGCTCCCTGGGGACACTGCGCAGTTAGGAGATGATGGCTGGGGACCACCGCGGCAGGCTCAGATTGTCAGCACTGGCTGACCGCTTCCGTGAGCATCTTCTCAGGTCCTTGTACTTGTCCTCACAGAGGCGAGAGATGGCCTGGGAATGAGAGGGACAGTGCAGGTCAGCCAGGACCCCAGCCGGCCATGGAGCAGCTGCCCTCCTCGGCCAGGAGGGTCTGTGCTCCACCCCCGGTCACTGCCAGGCTCGCTCGCACCCTGAGGCTGCTGCGCAGTGAGCCCAGACCTCATTCGGTTTTGCTCTTCCCCACCTTCTAACAAACCAGCGATTCGGTGACTGCCCTGACTGCCAACAGTCAGTCTCCACCCAGCAGGCTGTCACCGTCCCAGGGCCATTCTGCTCCTCGTGGGCCTGGCGCTGATGTGTGCCAAGGGCCATGGGCTCAGCAGACCACAGACACCACAGGGCATGTTCGAGTGGAGGCAGCGGCTCAGGCGTCCCCACCAGGGATTGAAGGTGTCTTTGTCCAAATGAGGAGAACCGACAATCTAATTCTTTAGGGACATTAGAACTGTCATTTTTTTCAACTCATTTAAATTTCCTGAGATTAACAGCTGCTGTTTCTCAGTTTACAGCATGAGACTGTATGTAATCCCATAAAACGGTGAAATGTTCCATCTTAGGGTTAGACATTATCATGTGAAGTGATGTTAGCTGTGATCAGACCTCTCATGTGCACAGAGATACTAGTTTATTTCAGAGACAAATACTCTGATAGTGAGGAAGCTGCTCTGCACTGGCCCTGGCTCTGGCACATGCTCCATCAAAATGGCACGTGGCGGCAAACCTGACCAGGCCGAGAACTTTAATAAGGGCAGCTTCTGATTCATCTCACTCCTTGGTGTTACACTAGCTCATGTGGTTCACTATCCAAATGGACCAATAGGGACTCTGGAGTCTGGAAAGCGAGGTAGTCTCACTCCTTACAGATTACCTCAAAGAGGCATCATGGGCTTTCCTGCGACTGCTTCCGTCCAGGCCCACAGCAGCTCTGGTTCTTTTTGTCCTGGTGACCCCTCAGCACCAAGCATGGAAGCACCAACCCCTCCCGCTCAGCCAGCCTGTGTTCTTGGCTTGGCTGCCCCGGGGCCCTAGCTATTCTCCATCAGAGGACCCGTGTGCCTTTCCCTCAGGCCCAGTGTCAGCCAGGAGCCTGGCTCTTCCCACCAGTGGTGGGGCCTCAGCTTGGGCTGCAGCAGGTTCATGCTCACGTGTGTTCCTGTGAGGGTCTGAGTATGTATCCTTCAAAGGGCGAGTTTTCCATTTTTTCTCTTGAATAGATAGATAGGAGACTGAATGAGCATTTTCATCCCAATGGCTGACACACAATTACAGCAAAATGATGCAGTTCTAAAAACCTCTCTGGATTTTATCCCAGTGGCAGGCATCCAGTCTGTTCCAGTTTTAGCTAAACTTTCTTTTTGGGACTATGATTTATTTTTTAAAGTGTGGGGGATGTGTGTGTAACAGTGCTGAGGACTGACCCCAGGGCCTCAGGCATGCTAGGCAAGTTCTCTACCCTGCGCTACATCCCTAGCCCAAAATGTCTACTTTCTGAGCTTGTAATCTGTAACAACTCTATCCCCTACCTCTGCCATTGTTCAGTTCAGCTATGAGCTGTCAGACCACTACACTGCCCATCTGATCCTGTCTTGAGTGACAACAGTGTCTCACTTGAGCTGGACGTTGGAGTGGGCAGCACCAGACCTCGTGGGTTTCACCAAGCCTGGGACAGGGCTGCCCCAGCCGGTGCCAACTGCCCTTTGTGCAAAGGCTCTCTGGAGTCAAGTAAAAATGCTGCCCAGGGTTAAAGGCCCGAGAGCACCTCAGTACACCTTCTCTGGAGCAGAGGGTCCTACCAGGGTCCTTCTTACCACCTGCCTTTTCCTCCTGTCTGAAAGTCACATGGAAAGAGCCTGAAAATATGAAGGTGAGATACACACATATGTGCCATGAAAAGGCCCCAAAGTTACAAGGTTAATAATGATGACTCAACCCAGTACCAAAGACCAGTGTGGCCAACGCTCATGGAGTTATTTTAGGAAAAAGATCTATGCAGTCAAACTTTTTTGGGTCCCCAATTCTTAAGTTTATCTGGTAGCTTTTTCCTAGAAAGTACGAACTGAGAAATACTGTTATTGTGGGCTTATATGTTTAAAAATACTGTAAGGACAAGGGTTCTTAAAAATCTTTGATTTAAAAATACAACCAACCAACGAATATTAAGTAAAAAAGGCTATTGAAAATATAAAATTGTACAAATTATAATCCCCTAAACTAAGTGACTGGCAACACATCTGGCCCCTTCCCTTACTTCAAGCTCATTAGGGGAGAAATGGTTGCAGTGGCCACACACACTGTGGGAGTCACATGCTGCATCTGCAGACACTCTTACCTCAAGCTTGTGGGCCCTCTCTCTGCTCAGGGGCTCCAAGGGAAAGCTCAGGTTGTTTGCTTCTGCCAGAGAACGAAGATCAAAATAATACTTGGCATACACACTGGAAGGGACGTTGATGTTGAACTGGAGCAATTCAAGAAACTGTCGCTCTAGCTCATTCCTGCAAAGCAAAAGCAAAAATAGCACACACTCAGCTGCCCACCAGGCTGTGTGGCCAGCCAAGCTGCTGGAGACCAGACTCCAGAAAATTGCATCCTCCAGGGAGAAAAGTGATCTAATTAATTGCCTGGTTGAACACCAGAGATGTGGTTTAACCACCAAATTGATATTAAAAGCCGAATCCACTTGATCTGGTGCCCAGGAGGATGAAGCCTGATTAATTGGGATGATTACCAGGAAGTGCTTCAGGGTGACTCATTTCACTGAGCAATAACACACACACAGCAGGCTCTGGCTGCACATCTCAGCATGAAAGTCTGCTCCCATGGCCACAGCCTGGGCCTTGCATGGTGAGGGAAATAAAGTCATCAAGAGCTGTCTCGTAGGGCAAAGGCCTCAAGACATGCCCCAAGGAGAAAGCTCAGCCTTGGAAGGAGGTTTCTCAATGGCCCCTTCCTGCCTCCTGGAGAGAGAAGGACCGTTTGGGTGTTCTTGATGGGAAAGTTGCAGGCACACCGAGTAAAAAGAAGGAAAGCACAGTCCTCAGCTTACACAGGTAGCCCAGTCACCTGGCAGGCACGGCATTCACACCCTAGCTCTGCTGGCCTGGATGAGCCAGATGCTGCTGGACCCACACTCTCAGAACTGGTCAACTCAGGAGCACCATGAGCAGTGGTGATACTGAAATCCATCTTCCCAATCCGCTTACATTTTGATAAAAAATGAATGATACCTGAAATTTTAAAAATCCTACTTTGAGAAATTCTTCTATCAATTACCAGTCAAATTAGAGGAGGTACATTTCTCGAGAGTTAGTTACTGGGGGCAGGGGACAGTGACAGATCCATTCCTTGAGTGCTGGCCCTGGGCCACCTTCCCCCAGGAAGCAGCTGCCGATGCCTGTTCCCATCACACACCAGTCACCTGCTCCTGTCCTTCATCACATGACACTGTAACTGTTGGCTTCAGTTTTTCCCACTTGTCTCCTCACAGCAGGAACGGTGGCCTCTGATTTCACACGTCTGGCCCCTGATTTTACGTAGATGTGAGAGCTGAGCTAAGTTTAAGGAAGGATAGGGCTCTGGTGTGGAGGAAGCAGGCCAAGGGCGGGGGTACTTCCAGGCGGTCCTTTCAAACCACCTGCACCCCACGCAAGAGGTCAGGACATATGGTTCCTGTGTCCAGAAAGAGAGGCTGGCACCCATGGGCCTGTCCCAAGAACCAGGCCTCTGGCCTCCTGACACAGACCCCAGCCTCTGCACCCAAGCCATGCTCCACTGACTGCAATGAACACACACCCCGACTCTTTAGATCTCAAGCTGTCCCAGCATGCTGTCTCTCCATGCTGTGCAAAGTCCCATCTTACCTGCTCCCGGGTCACCTCAGTGAGATCAGAGACCATAGAGGCTACGCTCCAGGCTCAGGGACAGGTGCACAAAGGTGGTGGGGCGGGGCGGGGAGGTGGGATCTCAGTGAGGGGCGGAGCTTTAGGGAGGCAAAGCTATTGGGCAGACATTTACAAAACTTTAGCAAGCTGCTGGCAAAGGCCTGAATGAAGTCAGATTCAGGTATTTTAATTAGATCAACTACATATGTTGCTTATTTCTATATAGCTTAGGGAAAGGAGTTAAGCTCCAAATGTATATATTGTGCTAAGTTTTATATTTTTAAGGAATTTACTTTTATTTTGGATTTTTTTTTACTTGAAGTAACTATTTATGCTTCATTTAAATGTGACCTTAATGGGAGATCATCCTGTGAAATACTGGAACCCAGTGAGGATTACAATCAGTGTCAAAAACACAGTACTGCTAAGGCCAGAAGTACAACACAGCAACTAGGCTAGCAGGGGCAATCCCGTGGAAATGGGAACTTCCTGTGGGTAGATCGCCATCTGGTGGCTACAAGGTGTTGCTCCCGAGTTTATTCTCCCAGTGCTAAGAAAATCTTTCAGTATTTCAAGAGAACTAGTTTGACAATCCTATCCAAAATGGCACGTGGACACCAACCACTCCAGCTGAAAGTACACAAGATGAGTAAAGTCGGGAGGAGGCTAGTTTTGAACACGGTGGCATTTTCCCAGGGTTCCTTGAAAAAACCACCTTTCCTCAGGCTTGTGTTTCTTGCATGTTGCTGGTTAAGTTCTAGAAACAGGCATTTGAGAGATGTTATGTTTTCAAATTAATGCAAGATTTTACAAAATAAAGAATAATTTCAAATACTTTTGATTCCTAAACTGCAGCATACCCTAAAAGGGACATCTGCTAGCTTGCTGTGTGATAAATGAACAGACAACTAACAATGACACAGAAATGGGCTTGATGTTTGGATAACTATGAGGTAACTGTTCTGATGTAAACATTTATAAGAAATATATTCCAGGCAATGACTAAAACATGTAATTCAGAAGTAACTGTTACATCAGCTTGATACTGCACAGAAACCCAGCTGAGCTGGTCTAATATAGAAACTTGAAAATAGGACTCCAACATGGAGTAGAAAGTCGTTTTCATCATCCAAGGCCCTGCCTGTCTTCCTAGAAAACTGGGCTCACTCCCAAAGGCAGGTGTCAATCCAGCAAACCCACTCCCTCCAGGGTGTATATGAAAACTAAAATCAGGCTGTTAACTCAGTATTTGTACAGCTACATTCACAGTAGCATTGTTCACACTAGCTCAATGTGGAAGCAACATTGGCTGTCCATGTACAGATAAAGGAAAACACAATAGGATGTTTATAAAATGGAGTATTAGTCAGTCTTGAAAAGGAAACGGTGATATATGCTACAACACAGATGAAGCTTGAGGACATTATGCCAAGTTTTTGAAATAACACAGTCTGGAAAAGATAAATACTTATGTGAGGTACCCAGAGTAGTCAAATTAAAGACAAAGTAGAATGGTGGATGCCAAAGCTGGGGAGGAAGGAAAGGGAATTAGTGTTTAATAGGCACAGTTTCAGTTTGGGCAAAGGAAAAAGTTCTGAAGACAGACAGTAGTAATGGTTGAGCAGCACAGTGAGTATGTTTAATGCCACTGAACTGCACACTTAAAAATGGTTAAAATGGGGGCTGGGGATTTAGCTCAGTGGCGCCACACCTGCCTCACAAGTGCAAGGCCCTGAGTTTGAGCCCCAGTACCAAAAAAAAAGGTTAAAATGGTAAATTTTATGCTGTGTAAATTTTCACACCCCCCCCCAAACCAGATATGAGACCTCTAGAGAGGGACTGGGGCCCTGGCTGTGTCGTCAGTTGTCATGCAACACTAAGACAAGTCCCTTGACTTTTCATTTGGATTCCCTGTCTACACATGAAAGTAACTCTTAGAGAGTTACTGCAGACAAACAAATATCCAAGTGTAACTTTTAAACAGCTGTTTTGTGCACAGAACTCTGCGCAATCCAACTCCCGCGTTCCTTTCTCGAGAACAGTAATGGCCATTTGCTGCTCTTCTGACCTGTGCTGCGACGGCTTTGTTGCTGCTAAGGGTGAGATGAGACCGGCCTACGTCTGAGATCTGAGTGTGTTGGCGAGCAAAGACTGCCCTGGCCATTCTTCAAGTGGAGCCTGCAGCTGCATCCCCACGGGGTCAGCTGCCCTCTCAGCCAGAGCCACATGTGCAAAGGTGCAGGAGGTCTCCAAGTAAAGCCCTCACCACAGAATGATTCCTGGGCTACAGATTACCCTGGGGTCAGAAATACCAGGAAGGTGACCTTGGATCCAGAGTGGGATCAGGAGGTACCTGGAGAGCAAACACCATCACAAAGCACATTTTAAAAAGCTTTCCAGCGGAAACTTGGGCCTGCTCTTCCTTTGAAGAAGCTCCCAGTGAAAGCTCAGGCTGTTTGCCTCTGGCAGGAAATAAAGTTTAATGACGTGCAATTAGCACATTGCTAAGTGGCAAAAAGTTTATTAATAGCATGTATAATATGAACTTAGTTTTGCAAAAACAACCCAAAAAACAAAAGAAAGCAAAACCATATAAACACTGGGAAGCTATGTATCAAAATGTTAGCAGTATTGTTTCTGGGTGGAGGGCTATTAGAAAAAGTATGGTGGTTCATGCCCTGAAAGATGGAGCATCTCTTAGCAGATCTGAGACTTAGCTTTCCCAAAGACCTCCCATCTGTTCTTGGGCCCCAACTACGGGCTCTTCACATTGGGAAGGCCAAGTAAGAGGGCATGCACCTTTCCCACTCTGGACAGCATGTTGGACTAGTGGATGAACCAACTGCTCCTCTAACGTGTGGCGCATGAGAGTTTCCAGGTGGCCACCCAGATGCGGGGTCCACCCTTGCCCAGAGCAGAGTAGGGTGGGGATGCAGATCAGATGCACAGGCACATGGTCTGTGGGGCCAGCAGAGGGGCAGGCCCACGGGTGCAGAGCTGACTGATGAGGAGGAGGATGGGGGCCTTGGTCCCTTTCTGTTTCTTTTTTTTTTTTTTTTTTGGTACCAGGGATCGAACTCAGGATCTTGCGCTTTCGAGGCAGGTGCTGGAACCACTGAGCTAAATACCCGGCCCTTCTTGGTCCCTTTCTGAAGCTGCACTGTGAAAGGTATGCTTATCTTTACCTTGGGCCAGGATCCAAAGATGCCTCAAAAACCCTCCCCTCTGGCCCTTGAAGGGTACCTGGGAATCATTTCTACTCTTAGCCATTTGGGTGAATGATGCTGAATCTCACTGATTTGGGGGACAGACTTACAGGGTTCTATGGGGAAAAAAACCCTAATCAAATATTCATTAAAAAGAATTCCAGGGCTTAGGGTGTAGCTCAGTGGTAAGTGCTTGCCTGGCATGTACAAGGCCCTGGATTTAATCTCCAGCACGGCCAAAAACTGACAGCAACAACTCTAACACTAAATCTATGATTCTGTGCTCATGCTACAAAGCATCTTAAAGCTTCTCTCTCTACAAACTTGGTTCAAGGTCACAGACATCCAAATAGCTCCATGCTGTGGATTTTATTTCTTCTTTCAGTGAAGTTTACTGGGTGTATCAGT